AATACCTGGAGTTGGCGGACGTCCGCCCCACAAGGGGTCACGGCTCAAGGATGAAGAAGCCACAAGTTCAGAAAACTGAAGGAAATCTTTTTCGAAGTGAGAGTTGTGAACTCTTGGAACAATCTGCCAGGGAACGTTGTGACGGCACCGAGTGTAAGCTCATTGAAGGCCAGACTTAAGAACATAAGAAAATAGGGAGTCTGCAATAGGCCGGTCTGCCTGTACTTGGCAGCTCCTGTCGAGAGTTACAACCACTCTCTATTGTTCATGAATCCAACTAGCCTCCCTTTAAGACTTTCAAGCGCCCCAGTACTTACTACAAAGTTGATAAGCTTGTTCCACTCGTCTACCACCCCATTTGTGAAACAGTTCCTTCCTATCTCCCTCCTGAACCTAAACTTATCCAACTTATATCCGTTGTTCCGAGTCCTATCCTGCTCGGATATTATAAGAACTTTATCTATATCACCTTTATTGATTCCTTTCACCCACTTGAATACTTCTACCATATCTCCCCGCACTCTTCGTCTTTCTATGCAAGTTTAGTTTCTTTAACCTATCTTGATATGGAAGGTTTCTAAGTCCCGGAATCATTTTCATCATTCTTCGCTGCACCGATTCCAGTGAATTGATATCCATTCTATAATAAGGGCACCAGAACTGAACAGCATAATCGAGGTGCGGCCTGACTAGCGCAAGATATAATTGCAATATTTCCTCCGCACTTTTAATACTTACACTTCTAGATATAAAACCCAATACTCTGTTTGCCTTATTTCGAACATTAACGCACTGTTTTCTAGGCCGAAGGTCCAGGCTTAAAAGTACCCCTAAGTCTCTTTCACAAGTTGACTTCTCTAGGTTGATGTAGTTTAAGCTGTATACATTGAGAGTATTTGTTCTTCCAATATTAAAGTACGCTGCAGTTGCTGATGTTGAATTCCATTTGCCATTTCAGACCACTCCTGCAGTTTATTTAAATCCTCCCGTAATGCATTTGCATCCTGCCCTGAATTAATCTGCTGCCCTATTTTGGTGTCATCCGCAAACTTGCTTATGTCACTGCTGATCCCAGTATCGAGATCGTTTATGTATATTATGAACAAGGGTGGGCCCAGTACTGACCCCTCGGAACCCCACTAGTTACACAGCCCCACTCCGATTTAAGACCATCTACGCTGACCCTCTGTGTTCTATTGGTGAGCCATGATTTTATCCAATTTAAAATTTTCCCCTCGATACCATGAACCTTAACTTTTCGCAGAAGCCTCTGATGCAATACTCTGTCAAATGCTTTGCTAAAGCCTATGTAAATAACATCATAATTTTCGTCATAATCTACTTCCTCATAGACTTTCCTAAAAAAACGTCAGCAGATTTGTTGGACAAGATTTTCCCTTTGTAAATCCAAGTTTTTCTCTAAATGCGATCGCATGCTATTTGCTATAATCGATTCAAGAAATTTCCCCACTACTGATGTCAAACTAATCGGCCACTAATTTGACGCTGACGCTCTGTCTTCCTTTTTTAATATGGCACAACTCCCGTGTCTAATGATTTTGTTAATAAATTTAAGAGGGGTCCACTAATCTGTTCCTTACACTCTTTCAAAACTTGTGGGAAAATTTCATCCGGCCCTAGGAATTTTGTCTTCTTTAATTTATTTATCTTCGTAAGAACATCCTCTTTCTCATAGCGATGTCCTTTAGTTTCTCTTCTTCATTTCCCCTAAATATCAGTTCCACCTCTGTATTTATATGGAGTTTTTTAAGGCTAGATGGTATAGATATGTAGATGATGTTCTTTGTCTTTGGCCTAGAAACAGTGACCCACTGGAATTTTAGACAAGCTTAATGATCTTGTCCCAAGGTTTACATTCAAATTTGAAAGAGAAATAAATGGATCCCTTCCATTCCTTGATATGCTTATCATTAGAAATAACCATAACTATAAATTTAAGGTGTACAGAAAGCTTACACAGGTAGACAGTTTCATACATTTTTTATCGAGTCACCTGAAGTCTACCAAAATGTCAGTTTTTTCTGCTATGTTTTTGAGATGTTTGCATATTTGTGACTCTGAATTTATTGATGAAGAATTGAAACACATTCTTTCCATTGCACAAAAACTTGGGTACCCTTCAGTGTTGATCATTGTTTTAAAAGTGCTAAAAAAATCCTTTCATTCTACTCAAACCAGGCAAATTCCTACACTTAAGAATATTTTGACTCTGCCTTATCGCAATGAATTTGTCCCGTTAGTTCAGTCCCTTAAACTATTAAGTATTAATGTCGTTTTAAGTATGACTCAACCAATACCAATATATTAATCAAGAACAGCTCAACTTTGAATGTAAATGGAAGTGTTTATTGTATTCCATGTAGCAAATGTAAGGGAAATTATGTAGGACAGACTGGGAAAGCATTGCAACTCAGAATCAAACAGCATAAGTACAATATCAGAATAGCATCTGAAAGCAGTGCCCTGTTCATTCATGTTAGGAATAATAATCACCCCATTGATTGGGAAAAAAGCCTAGAAGCCTAGAAGTGTGACACCATGTGTTACAGAAAGACTTCTGGTTGAAGCTAGTTTGATTAGGGAATTAAATTCAATAAACCATAGTGATGGTCAGTACAAAACTGATTATATGTTACATAAATTTATTTGTCAGTGGCCCAAGGTTAAAAATGCTTTGAAAACCTTGGAGCTAGATGTAGGATAGATATTTAGTGGGTCCCTTATTTTTTACCTGACTGAGTGCGGGGAGATAAGATAGAAGTATTTAAGTGGGTGAAAGGAATCAATAAAGGGGATATAGATAAAGTTCTTATAATATACGAGCAGGATAGGACTCGGAGCAACGGATTTAAGTTGGATAAGTTTAGGTTTAGGAGGGAGATAGGAAGAAACTGGTTCACAAATAGGGTGGTGGACGAGTGGAACAAGCTTAACAACTTTGTAGTAAGTGCTGGAACGCTGGAAAGTTTCAAAAGGAGGCTGGATAGATTCATGGATGATAGAGAGTGGTAGTAACTCTCGACAGGAGCTGCCATGCACAGGCCAACCGGCCTATTACAGACTCCTTATTTTCTTATGTTTTTATGTTAAACTCCTCTACGTGTGTGTTGGTGTGCGGGTTAGTGGATGTCATGATTATGACCTGACCTCATGTTTAATAAGGTCACCCTGTATATTTAAACCTCTCTCTGTCCATGTAAACCAGTTGCCTCTGAAGATGTCTTGAATAAAGACGAAAGCTCAGGTGCTCCACTGTTTCCCTTTACCCTGTGTGATTTTATCAATATATATATATATGCTGTTTTCTTCTTTCCTTGTGGTTATCAGCATATACCTAGATCACGCGCACCTACAGTGATTTATTATATATATATATATATATATATATATATATATATATATATATATATATATATATATTCAACACACCCCGCCAGGATTCGAACCCACGGCCCACGACTGTGACTGGGGAACGCTACCTCTAGACCACCAGGATACTAAAAGCAGTCCTAGACTCTTATATTTCACACAAAGCCTGTTCAACGAGCTTATGGCGCCCTGAACCTCTAATGGGGACTACCCGTATCACTTAAGTGGTCAGAGTAACGTTTTATCAAATCCGGCTTCGAAACACGAGGATCCATATATATTTCATTAGTTAGAGGTAGCGTTCCCCGGTCACAGTCAAGGGCCATGGGTTCGAATCCTGGCGGGGTGAGGTGTTGAGTATATGTAGAAGTCCGCGTGCTTTATTGGGCTAATGAAATATATATGGATCCTCGTGTTTCGAAGCCAGATTTGGTAAAACGTTACTCTGACCACCTAAGTGATACGGGTAGTCCCCATTAGAGGTTCACGGCGCCATAAACTCGTTGAACAGGCTTTGTGTGAAATATAACAGAGTCTAGGACTGCTTTTAGTATCCTGGTGGTCTAGAGGTAGCGTTCCCCGGTCACAGTCGTGGCGTGGGTTCGAATCCTGTAGAAGTCCGCGTGCTTTATTGGGCTAATGATATATATATATATATATATATATATATATATATATATATATATATATATATATATACTTCATTTTTAGTCCATATAACACGCGGACTTTGAACATATAATCAACAACCTCACCAGCCAGGACTCGAACCCTCGAACTACTGTGTGGGACCAGGGAACGTTACCGACCATGCCACAAGGACACTAAAAGCAGTTCTAGACTATGTTATATTTCACACAAAGCCTGTTCATGTGGCATGGTCAGTAACGTTCCCTGGTCCCACACAGTAGGTCGAGGGTTCGAATCCTGGCTGGTGAGGTTATATATATATATATATATATATATATATATATATATATATATATATATATATATATATATATATATATATATATATATATATATATATATATATATATATATATATATTATACTGTACCTCACAAAATCGTATTGATACTTTTTGGACTGAGTCCTGGTGTCAGAAGCGAAGCAAGAAACATTTTATACAGTTATAAAAGACTGGAAAAATATACATAACTGACCCTAAAATGTTGTATTATGAGGTGACCATTTGTCTAGGTACAGTGTTGTGTCATATTGTTGGTCACAAACTTGTATGTCTGCTTTGTTAAGTGTTAGTTTCCAGCCTCACAAAGAATCCCAATGGAAATAAGCTAATAATGATAATCTTGGGCTATACTTGTTTAAATCTACATATTAGTTACTATTGTACCTGTGTATATACCAGCACAACGTACTGCACCTTGTGTGTATACCTGCAATGTAGCCGACTGTACAGTACAGTACATGTTAAACGAGTGTAAACTTGCGCAACGCGATAATATAAGACTAATAATTATTAATATGAATGAATTAGAGTTGAATTAAACTATATTTCTGCTGTAGTGTTTTAAATACACTTAAGCTGTGTTGAGACATAGAGCACTGTTGACATGTCTTAGTCAACACACACAACAGAGACTCACCCTCGAGGGGCACCAGGGGCACCTCTGCACGGAGCATGACGGGGACACCCCAGGTGTTGAAGTCAGGGCTGCGAGAGAGGTGCTCAGCGAACACCCGCCCACCCTTAGCACTCACCAGCGCCCACATGTCCCTCCACCCCAGCTCGCGGGCGTGACTGCTGCCCAGACGGCGTAGAGCGTCACGCCCTCCGCCCTTCATCTGGAACGTCCCCTCGTCCTGCAACATAAGCAATGAACGTGTTATCATCTTGCAACACACACAGCAGGCACACTAATATATTGTTCACCGTTCTGAATTTTATGTTTCCTCTGAAAAACACAACTAGAGACTTAGGTGTTGTCTCCAGAGTGTTCCCAGGAGAGTGAGGAAGATGAGTGTGGCGGGGAACACTGTACTGTACTAACCTCTGACACCACTGGAAGAGTTATAGAATTAGTTTGACCTTTGTAGAGCTAATGGCTGAGGGGGAGGTTGTGGAGATGATGAGTCACCGTAGAGTCACTTAACAGAAGAATACGGAGAAAAACCCATTCATAAATAAATACTGTTTAGATATTATGACCCAAGAACCTTTAAATAAACAACAAGAATCACAAAATTTTGTAAGATAAATATTCCTCGTAACTTAAGATTTAAGATTACAAATTACTTGTTGACATAACTTAAAATACAATATTATATAAAATACCAAAACAATCACAGTAAGATGCTTAGAACAACATTCTATACCTTAATGCTTTGGTATTGAGGGAAAGTAGTTAAGGTGAAATCTCACGGTAATTATAATATGTTTAGATGTTGTTTTATTCCACCTTCAGGACCCGGAACATGTCTTATATAACTGGGAACTAAGTCTTATATATGTGTGGTTATAGTTAAACACTCACACAGGTAAACAAGTGACATACTAAAACAAGACACCAACATACCCATGGTCTGGTGACACTTGAGATTCGGGTAGTACTGGGACAGGTGAGTGAGGTGACCCAGCACTGGACTGTATTGCGTGGTGTTGATGGTGGTGCTGGTGATGGTGGTCGTTTAATAATGCCATGTGTTTAGAGTAAAATTGTGTGAAAATTCAGTTCCCGCCATACCGCAAGTATAGACAACAGTGTTCCTGCAAGGCCGTCAGTGCCAGAGTATTCTAAGTCTACGGCCCCTAAACTCCCTCACACACTCCCCCACCGCTAACTCCTGTATTAGCCCCTGTCTAACAGACAGTAATACTTATATAAATGTCGGTTACAGACTGTAACCGTCCAATGAGCGACTGTGAGACCCTTGTACGTAGGACTCGATTGTTCTTTATTCGGTCAAAACCTGCAGAGTACAAATTACATGTGTTACGTACGAGATAATTAATTAATTCGTACGTTCCTTCACTATTAACAACTACATATGATATATTTGAGTAGTGGGGTGTTAAACCATATAAGACTTAGTGTTTCTGGTCTAATGTAGGACTTATTAGCTCCCTGACTTGTTAGCTCACTGGACGGCTAGAGACTCTCTTCTGAACCCCACAGGGAGAGAGTCAGCCCGAGGCGAGAGCCATCTGTTTCACATTTAACACCTCAGCAAAGCTCGTTGTCAACACTCTGTATCTCTCCTGTCTCCCTTTCTCTCTCTCTATCCCTCTCTTTCTCTCTCTCTTCTAGTTTATCCTACTGTGGCGGTAACACATACATTAGGTTTCTATAATTACATCGTCAACGGTAACTTTCCTATGAACCGTGAGTAGTCACCAAGTGGACATGTGACAGTGTATTTATACTGTTCCCTCACACCTTGACCGCAGAGTCATTAATTAAGTAGCCAGCTATCGCCAGTTCAACTCCCGTCTCTGAGCCACTCACACGTGTGCTCTAAGAAGCAACATATACTCAAGTTTCGTCCATTATTAACGCTCACAGCTCATAGCGTTAATTACGGTGATATCCCAGTTATTGTGCAATAGTTTATTTTGGGTTTGATAACTTAACCATTAAACATTTATGAATGTTGCTTCCAATTCACCTCTAATTAGTGCTACCACAGGTAACTGGAAACTGCAACAAAGGTGGCAGCAAAGTTTTACAAATCTATGAACAAAAACCAATGTTTTATAAAAAAAAAAAACTGACGATTTTGGACTAAAGTTTAACATTCTCCATTTTTTTTTGTTGCACCTGATATTTACCTTTCTGAGAGGTGGTAAATTTAATTAGACAATTGTAACGTCCCAGTTAGATGTACAAGTTTCTATTATCCACCAGGAGTGTTGAGCCCGGTGTCTGAGAGCGCTGAGCCAGACGTCGACCAATCAAAACAACTGAAGACTGAGTAGGCTCACCCTGGGGGGGCCTGAGGATGGGGTGTTTCCGCACGTTGGGAGAGAAAGCTTGCTGAGACTGTTATGCTTAGTAGCTGAAACAGCCTTGAGAACGTCTTGAAGACAGAGTTCAAGGTGTAGTGATGCGTTGTACAGTGCTGCGACGTATTAAACGATCAGATGTATAAAATCACTTATAATAACAACAATAAAAACTTTCAAGCAGACTAGCACGCTGGTATCTAACCATTCAAGAATTCACCCGCGTGTTCATTTACTCAATGGAACGAGCAAATGTGGTCACCGAGGCATGTCCAGAAGCATAGCACCAGTGATGCCTGTAACTTCGTTCACTCTCTCGGAATTACGGGATGAACAACGACTAGATCCCTTGTGGTCTACAGTCATTGTTGTCCTAGAGTCGGGGGAGGAGACTAATCTACCAAAGTTACCAGGGTGATATAATTATATAAACCTAATGTTTGTAACCCACATTTATATAAGTATTACTATCTGTTAAACAGGCGCTAATATACTCCCTCATACACTCCCCCACCACTAACTCCCTCACACACTCCCCCACCACTAATTCCCCCACCACTAACTCCCTCACACACTCCCCCACACACTCCCCCACCACTAACTCCCTCACACACTCCCCCACCACTAACTCCCTCACACACTCCCCCATCATCCTTCCTCAAGCTACACCTCCTTCATCAATCCACAATCCTAAAATCCTTCCATTAACCATCGCGCAATCCTACTTCCTCCTCCATCCTTAAGTGAGGAGCTTAGAGAGGCGAGCAGGAGAAGCAGGACCACAACACACATGATGAGGAAGTAGAGTTGGAGGTGTGTTTAGAGGGAGGGAGGTCTAGCCCAGCTCATTAGAGAGTCTTATGAAGCCAGCGAGGCCTCTTCCAACATTGTTAGTTGTCCTCTTACCATCTAGTAGAGGATGTCTGGCGTTCGTGTCTCCAATGATGTAGGTTGGGTGGTGGTATGATAGGAGTCTGTGGAAGTCCCCGTAAGGCAGGTCATACTATGAGCACCACTTTAATATTAAAATTACAGATGGTCCAAAATGAAGCCCTAAGATTCGTCACATGTGAAAGATACCCGTTCACCAGAACCATAGCCGAGATACATAGAGACCTGAGAATAAAACCCATCAACCAGCAGCTGCACACCCTGGCCAGCAGAATCTGGCAAAAGATAGAACGATCAGAGCAAGAACTCCTTCAAAGACTCCCACCAGATAACGACAATAACCATACATGGTTCCCAAAAAGTTATCAAATCTCAAAAGGTCCATTACCACCCCCGATCTACACGGCCAGGCAATAGACAACCTCCCTAGACCAGCATCCGCCAGTAGGGTCGGTGGAATATGAAATAAGGCCCTAAAAACACCCATATATGGGACAGGGTAGGATGTCTAGTGCCTGTACCGACAGACAATAACTAACCCATGACACAACCCAAACACACTATTAGCTTAGCTAGGCGGTCAGTCTGCCCTCTCTTACCTCCTCCTAAATTTCTTCAATTTCCGAACTATAACTTCCTTCCCCCACCTCTAATCTTCTTTCACCCTCCTTTTGACTTTGATTGTAGACCACTCACTACCAGGGGCCCTCCCACGTACACCACTCACTACCAGGGGCCCTCCCACATACACCATCCACTACCAGGGGCCCTCCCACGTACACCACTCACTACCAGGGGCCCTTCCACGTACACACCACCCACAACACCACTCACTACCAGGGGCCCTCCCACGTACACCACCCACTACCAGGGGCCCTCCCACGTACACCACCCACTACCAGGGCCCCCACGCACACCACCCACTACCAGGGGCCTTCCCACGCACACACCACCAGGGGCCCTCCACGTACACCACCACACAGGGCCTGACGCACACCACCACTAGGGGCCCTCCCACGTACACCACCCACTACCAGGGGCCCTCCCACGTACACCTTCCACTACCAGGGGCCCTCCCACGTACAGTACACCACTGACTGCCGCACACAATCCAATTACCGTTTAATTTCTTCATTATAAACATTTTCACGCATTAGTGAACTGTGGTGGAGGGTGGATTGAAGGTGGGTTGGTGGGTGGAGGGTGGGATGAAGGTGGGCTGAGGGTGATGTAGGATGGATTGAAGAGTGGAGGGTGGGTTGAGGGGTGAAGGGTGGGTTGAAGAGTGGAGGGTGGGTTGAGGGATGGATGGGGTTGAGGGATGGAGGGGGGTGGGTTGAGGGTGATGGAGGTGGGTTGAGGGTGAGAGGTGATGGAGGGTGGGTTGAGGGTGATGGAGGGTGGGTTGAGGGGTGGAGGGTGGTTAGAAGGTGGGTTGAGCTGGTAAAGGTGGGAGGAAGAGGGGTTGAGAGTGTTGAGGGTGGGTGAAAGGTGGGTTGGCAGAGGGAGGGGGGGTGGGTTTGAGGAGGTGGAGCATGTACAGTAGAGAGTGGATGGAGTGTGGGTGGAGGGCATGGAGGTATGATAGGGTGGAGGCGACGTGAGGGGTGTACAGCGCTGTCGGGAGTGAAGCCAGCCAGCCGCGTTGCCGCTATACTGTGGTTGGCAAGAGCCCGCTGCCCCCTCCACACCTTACCAGTCAACGACGTGCGTACTGCTGGTCTACAGGAATTATTGTCCTACTGTTCATTCAATAAATACATTTGCTAATATGTAAACAAGTGAGGAAATTCATTAACCTTTATTATTCACAAAAATATATACAAATAATACAATAAACGTGTGTAAATACGATGTCTATGTGTATAGTACATAATCCTACTGGCCACTAACATGAATTAGCTTTGTGTATATCTGACGACTCTTTACCTTAACCCGAGTTTGTAACTTAGTAGTGCACTGTTTTGCA